AAAAATGAAATTTCAAAGTCAAGGGCAATTGTTTGAACTATATAAGACAACTTTAATCTTATGGCTCTTTAAATTTAATTTCGAAAATTATTAAAAATAAAAATCTTAAAGTAGTAAAAACCTCCAAAAATACAATATTTCCTCATTTCCGAACGTGTTTAACGAAACGTGAAGCAATAAAGCCGTTTCCTAAATTATGAATTCTAAAATCCCATTAATTCCTTATTTTGGAATAAAATGCGTGAATAGACGAAAACATCCAGGGCCGCACTCGCACCAAATATCACACATTACCATTACATACTTATAAATTCCTAACGGCTCAATTTACGAAAACGTGTGAATTAGTCGTCGTCGTTTTGCCAATTAATATTCAAATTTGTATTATTATTAAGGACTACCGTAACACTCGACTTTTGTATAATATAATATGATCGCGTGTTGATATTTTTGGAGAATTTTTTGAGAATAATGAGCAGATGTTTGAAAATCGTTACGAAAATATTTATGAGCTTGAAATGCATTAGTGACCTTCTTGTCGGGAATTGACCATCGGGATCGAACACTGAGGGTAGTAGTAATAGACACAGAGGTAAATTTAAATATGTATATATATATATATATATATATATATATATATATATATTCGTGTGTATCCTTTATCCCTAGGTGGTTTTCCTAAACGCATGCGCCGGTGTCTACCAATCAATAATTCAAAACGACTACCACTATAGTTTGCGAATCTCTGAGTCTGCTCGGATATATCTCAATTTATATATAAAGGGCATATGTTGCCAATTATTGTCCTAGAAGTCCTAGAACACTGAGGGTTTTCATGCAAAACAAATTACCTATGCCAGATTTTTCCAAGTTGTATAGGATCTATCCAAAAACTTTTTTTTTTTGAAAATGCGGCAAGAAAAATAAAAGGATATTTTCTCAAATTTTATTTTTAATTTGAAAGTACAATCCTCTTTCGTTAATAATAAAAAACAATTTCTTTCCATACATCCTACTGATTGAAAAGTTGAAAAAAAAAGTTAGATGGCTCTTTGGAGCATTTTGTTATTTGTTGTAAATTTTATTGTCTAAATTTGTTACCAAGTTAAAAATAATATTGTAGAATTGTTTTACTTCCCTTGAAGTATAATCGGTAAAAATTTGGAAACTTTTGCTATTACAATATAATTTGCTCCATATGCAAACACTTTGTTAAAAAATAAAAGCATTTGCTTCAGTTTATTTAAGTAGTTATTACAAACATATTGTTATATTAAAATTAATGTCGCCAACTATTTTTAAGATAATTGGAGATAGTTAGGAGATTTATCTCCAATTATTAATAGCAAAAATGTTGCTGCTATAACAATTTTTATCCCCATATGCAAATATCTTGTTAGACAAATTTGGTAAAGAAATCCTCGTGCAGTAGGTTTTTTCAAAAAGTTGTTAAATAATAATGTTGCTATGTCGAAATTTATGTGGCTAAAAGGTTTTGGAATAATCTAAGGGTAGTTTGTAAAAATTTTGAGATAATTTTCACAAGGATTTTGAAATTATGACAATTTTTAGTTTGGTTGTAAATATTTCATATGAAAGTGTCGAAATAAATGCTTGTGCTGCAGTTTTTTCAAAAAGTTGTTAAATAAATATGTTGACATGTCGAAGTTAATGTTACCAAAAGGTATAAGGATGACCATAGTATAATTGATAAAAAAATTAGGTTCAATTGTTGCAAGGGTTTTGGTTTTATGACAATTTTTATCTCCGCATGTAAATAATTTGTGCCATTGACTCTGAATAAATGATTCTGCTCCAGTTTTTTCAAAAAGTTATCAAATATGTTAGGTCAAAATTTAATTTAAATTTTCACAGCTGATTTAGATTAGTCTTATCATAGTCCATATGATTTGCGAATACATTCAACAAACCTTAAAATTTATCAGAGCCAAAGAGTGTCTTTTATCTCTTGAGCTAAACATCTCAATTAGATTTAAAATTGCATTTCTTTAACCTTCTAATCAACAACCAATCCACCAAAAAAATCTAACACTCATTCGTCTTATCTAAAACAAATTTATTCCTTTCCTACGTACCCAAACCACAAAATCTAAAAACAAACCCCAATGCAAGTCCTTTCCAAGAGAAAGGACCCTTCCGAAAACCACACCCCTGAACAATAATTTATCCTTGTAGTACAACGAATTACGTAATAGGAAACACAAATTTCATCCCTCTCGAAAAAGAATTATAATATAGTATAATGCACCCCCTTTGTGTGTTTGCTTGTTTGCCCTTAAGGGGGGAAAATACACAATAAATAGAGAAGAGGGGGAGACGGGGGACTTATTTGAATATTTTGAAGAAGGGGGAGTTTTAGATCCAAAAATAATAAAAGACTATGATAAAATAATATTAATTTTTTGATATAATAGAAATACTATGGTAATGATATGTATTTGCTGTGCGATCAGGGGTTTCACACATAAAATCTAACCTCCAAAACTAACCTCATGAAATAACAATTTTATCATAAGTGCAACTTTCTGATGTCTCTCAGCATTTTGCACATCTATTGTGCCTTTTGCGTATGCAGTTATTAATTTCTACATCAACTTATACATATAAATAGGCATATATATACATATATTTATGTATATACATAATTATTATAATTATCCTGCCATATGCGTATTGAAATCCATGTTTTTTTTGGTGCGAGGGAAAAGAGTGTTTCCGACACCGACACACAAAACGAAATAAAAATGCATAAAATAGAAAATTATGTCATAATTAACGATCTAATTAGCGTGAAATGGAACTAGGCACGTATTTATGAATTCATAACATACAGGACCGCATTTGAGAACAAACTTAATCCCGTTTTTGTTTAACATTTCCTTTTTCAATCGTTTATATCAAAACAAGTATTATCCCTTTTATTCCGAGTTGCCAAATGTAATTCCGGCTACTGTTTGTTCATTTTGTCCAAAACACGTTTTGCAATTAATCCGATTTGACTGATGGACTTTTAAAATGTATAAACGGCTTATTAAAAACTTCTTATTATTTTATTTTATTTTATTTCGTGGAGGTGAATGCCCAATTTAAAATAAATTGCTCGCGATAATATAAATTAGGACTGATGCAGAAGAAATATAAAAAACACAGATGGAAATTAAGAGAAAGAATCGTCAAATCAAAATTTGTGAAAATAGGATGCTACTCAGGAGCTAATTGAGTTTTGAGCAAAAAACTGGTTAAATGTTGCAATGGGATACCTACTCTGTATGGATCAGAGACATAGACTCTAGAAAAAATATGGTATAAACTACTTCAAGAGAAGGAACTGGAAAATACATTTTTGTTTATTTATTATAGCAATCTATACAATATAAATTAGGCTAAAATTTTTGACATTATGGAAAATGCGCGAAAAGGATAACGATCTACTGATATATAGAACCTTTTTATTACAGTATTCTAAGAAAAAGATAAAATGATGCGATAAAATTGCAAAGAATTGGAGGAAAACTACCACATTTTACCCATATTTAAAAAAGAGTACATGGTCAAATAAGAAGACAAATTGAGGAAGAAGAGAAAAATGAAAGCCAAAGAAGGACTGTACTGACGTGCCAACTAAATCTAGATATAAAAATGAAAGTAATATTCTGCCAACAAAAATGTGATTTCCAGCGATTAGCAAAATGGTGTATGAAATAAAAAATTTAAAAAAAAACTACTTATGAGAAAACTGTCTGTCTCAACTTGCTCAAGCCAGTGATATATCTTTTCATTTCGATCAGAGACATGAACCAAAAACAAAGTCGGAGAAAGGAGAGATAAAATAAGGAAGTAACCAATATGAAAATATTGCAGATTTACCAAGAGATTTTGTTGTCAGAAGAAACCAGGATTAGATTCATATTTAAAAAATATGAAAAAAAGATAGGTTAAAAAAAAAGTAATATAGAAAGCCTAGAAGATGATCAATTTGTATAAGAAGAGAAAATATAAAAAACTGAACATGGTGGCACAAGACACAAAAGTATAGAAGAAAATTCTGGAAGTAAAACAAAGGCAAGAACAGAGTTAAATAAAATGGGATGCTTTAAAATAATAATTTAAAGTTTTGTAATATTTTAAGACGTTCCTCAAGACGTTTTCAGAAAAAATTGACAAAAAATCGTGTTTTAGCAACCACACACATACTTTGTCCAAAGTTGATGCCAAACGTTTCAGAACGACTTGTAACATAAATTAAGCAAATCAGATTTTCAAACAAAAATGTAAATTTTTCCTTAGAAAATATAAACAGTTTAAATATATATTAAATATATTGAAAAATATATTAATAAAACATATTCGAGAAAATTATATTGTATCGTGTGACGTTATTAGCAATTAGCGTCAAAACATTTCAGCATGAAGAAATCAACACATTTATATATAAATACATATATATATATATATATATATATATATATAAATGTATTTATAAATGTATTGGCTTTATAAATATTTTTGAAGGTTGAGCATCAAGTCCGCTCACACTTTTTACATTGTATTTTTAATATTCCCCTTCGGCCATAAATTAACTTCAGAAATATAACGCCAGGTAAAACAGATATATCAGATACATATATATATATATATATATATATACATATACATATATATACATGCATTTGTAACATATACATACATACCCAGCAATAAAAACAACTGAAATTCAAACAAATGAACAGTTCAAATGTTTCCAATATAATTTTTGTCATTTATTTCTACAATCTAACTATATTTCTATAATCACAAAATCCTAAAAAAATCCCTCAACAAACTTCAAAAAGATTTATCAAAATCCGAATAACCGTTTAGGAGAAGTATCAAATCATACACCCGTACAGACAAATTTTATATATAACATAACACATTTAATTTATTTTTTACAAAATGTCTGGTTCAATTATTATTAAAATGTATCATTTATCTTCCAGGCGAATGTTTCCGACCCTCCGGGTGTCCTTCTCCGACCTGCCCCTGCCGTCGTCGTCCTCCTGCACCAGTGGCGGCGGCGGCGGCGTCCAGTCCTCCTCCGTCCGCTACGCTGTCCTCCTGGACGTCGTAGGGACCGACCTGAGGAGGTACAGGTACGCCTATCACAGATCGTCGTGGCTGGTAGCAGGAAAGGCGGATCCTCCTGCTCCTGCTCGACTCTACCATCATCCTGACTCTCCATACAGCGCGGAGCAGCTGAGGAAGCAGGTCGTCTCCTTCGAGAAGGTCAAATTGACCAACAACGAACTGGACAAGAACGGACAGGTAAGGGGACAGGGGATAGATGAAACATAATAAAGATTTAAATAAAGTTTAAGTCTTGGTTTGTTAGTCATCTACTTGTACAATCGAATCAGTTGCATCCACTACTAGTGTCCTTAAAATCCATTCTGACTAAAGATGGGTAACTCACTCCGGAGTTATCACTCCGACACAACTCTTCCCTCGGAGTGAATCCGAGTGGAGTCGTTTCACAGAATTTGTCATATCCGACTTTCCTCAACTGGTATTAAATCTGTTAACTTGTGCAGACTTTTACTGTTTTTGGCGTTTTTGCTTTGGGAAGGAAGCGGTCGCTTTCTCGTCTCACAGGTAGTTTTATGACCTTTTAGGTATAAAACTCAAAATAATACCAATGTGTATTTTCCAGAAAACACAAAAGTATTAGTTCAAAGATACAGAACAATGAAATTGTGTTCAAGTGTGAATAGCTCAAATGTATAATTTACTGAATAGTACGCGGTGAATGACGGCAATCAGGAATATGCATACCAAAAAATTATAAAAAGTAATACCAATAGTATTTAAGCAAAAAATATTTAGTATTATATTATTACTTTCGCACAATTATATAATTTTGTAAAAGTAATAATATGTTATTCGAACTAACTGATATAATATTGATTCTGCAGAAGTATTATCATTTGGTGAAAATATTTAATGATAAATGTTTTGCTTTCATTACGAAGTTTACTACATAATTTTTATATGAAATTAATCTAAAAAATACATTATTTTCTCACCAAATGAAAATAATTAAATTGAATTTGATTCTCTAGTTTTGCGTTTTTACTTTGGTCAACTCTTGTCATCTGGTCGACTAAAAAATTGTACAACCTGTCATTTATTTGTGATTTCTTTAGAAAAATTATTTTATTGATATTTATTCACAAATTTTCATTTCAAATAATTAGTGGGATTTGACAAATCCTTAGATACATAAACAACACACTATAGAACACATTTGTGTCGAGCATTTCGCTTTCAAAGTTGTCGGAGTTGTGGAGTTGTTAAGCGGATATAACTCCACCATGATGTGGAGTCAAATCCGAGTCGATCCGGCTTCGGATATGATAAGCCCAGCTCTAATTCTGACCAATTATCTTCGCCGGTATTTTTGCAAAACTTTGTTTAAAAACAACAAAAACAACCACTGGTCTTTTTTAAATCCTCTGGATCCTTCAACCGCGCGACTTGCAGAAACGCATGAAGTGATTTTAATGAAGCAATTAACACGTCCCATAATTAGACGTACCGACATCGTCTTCTTCAACTTCTTTCTTTCTTAACGAAGCCACAGGAAAAATGCTTTAAATAGCACTCGACAAAAAATTCACCAACACTATAGTAAATATGAAAAACTAATCTGTTTCACCATTTTTAGGCAAAAGATGTCAACTACAAGCAGATCCAATATGTAATGTTTCATTTATCTTGTGGATTGAAATTATTTCCAAATAATTTTTACTACTTCATCTAATCCTTTTCCCAGTGTTTCACAATTAGCTACGTGCCTCTCCAAGCTCGGTTAGCTATAATAGTTTTCGCGTCTCAATTAGCTTTAATTAAGATTTATGTTAGCATTGATTTGACGAAAATAACTACGAGGAGCGTTATTGTTGCGAACAAAACACTTTAGAACTTGGTTGGCATAAACGGTTGAATAAACACGCCAAGGAATGAGGAATGAGGAATGAAAAGTTAACACAATTAGTGATGGAAATCAACGATTGAAGTAACAAGAGGAATGAATTAGATATATCTAAAAAAGAAACCTTATATTTATACTTTTTTCCTAAACTTTTTAGAACAACATTTGAATTTATTTGGTATCTAAATCTTTTAGTCCAGTAAGTGTCTTCTCAAATTTTTGGTATAAATGAAGTAAGCATAACTTTTCAACTTTGACCAAATAAAAACAACGCCAAAAAACCTCACTATGAGTTTACCAGAAACACTCACCATAAGTTTGATATTATTTGGTGACCTGCTTGATGTCTAAGTAACTCCAACAGCAAGCCCTTTAAATGGGGACCTTCTTAAAATAAAGTATCAATAATTAAAATTTATGATAAATATTGCCTACAGCTGGTTAAAAAAAATATCTTTATGTCCGCTGCCACCAAAAGTAAATAATACAAGAGAGTACATATTTTTGGGTCCAATCAAATAAAAACAACTTCCAACCTAATTGAGACACAAAACGTAATTGTATTGCAATCAAAAAAATCAGAAATTTAGATGTTGAACTAGTGGTGTATGGCATCGTGCCTTAAGGCAAATTGCTGGAACTTCCCGTACCGCAATGAAATATTCGAGAAATTTTAAACGTTTTCAAATATATTATTACAAATACTGTAATACTGTTATGTCATTTACTAACCAAATCAAATGTAAATCATAAATCAATTTATCTCCAGAACATTAACAATCGTCATTTCATTTCAAATTCATTTTCAACGCATAAACGCAAATAACTCACTCACGACATTTTCACTTATACTGTGCTTAGCTTGGCGACATTTTCACTTATACTGTGCTTATCTTGGCGGCATTTTCACATTTTTCAAAAACTAATCAGCACATCTGCCTATCAATAGGGATAGAATGTTTATTAAACCAATTAAATCGGTTGATCCGTGCGCCCGAAAACGTGGTCGAAAAAATGCCATACACAACACACACACACATCCATTTTTTTTGAGGTGTGCCAAAATGTTCAGAAACCTTCAAAACGTCGAGAAATGCAAAACTGTTCCTTTTCGATTTTCGGCCCATTACTATAACTACCCTACGGGAAGTTAATAAAAATTTATTACGAAATGATCAATAATTGTGCTTCAATGATACACTTGTATATATATACGAATATATTGTCCCTCCTCTCGTCCATTTCAAATAATGTCTAGTGTGATAAATTCCTCGTGATAAGAGCAATCGACCAATAGGGCATCATGCTACTTCTCACTCTGTTCTTCTTCATATAAAACGACGACGTGTATTTACGCAGGCGCAAAAGTCGAGGAAAAATTTCATATGCGGATTTACACGCGAGAGATGGCATATCACTAAAAAGGTTCTCAAAAAGGAATATTTAAGAAATATTCTTGGCGACATTGTAGAATGTGAACATTGGAGAATGAATTGATAGAACATTCGATCCCTATTGATAGGGAGATGTGCTGATTAGTTTATGGCAAAGGGAGGTCCACCCGTTACGGAGATACGGAGCAAAGAGTGCAGAAAATACAAATCAAGTTTTTGAAAGAACGGAGTATCGGAATTTAATGATCTAAAAAACATTCAATTAGTAATGATTGGGAAAAGTGGTTATTAGTTTTTGGCAAAGGCAGGTCCCACTATTTCGAAGATACAGAGCTAAATGTGCAAAAAATGGCAGTTTTCGAGTCAACTAAGCGTTCGATTTGAATGATCTAAAAAAACTTTCTGCTTGTATTGACAAAACAATTGCTTTTGAGGATAAAAAATTATTACATCTTTTTTTTTATTTTCCATAAAAATTTTTTGTAATTTCGGATTAAAAATTCAAAAAATTTCATGCTAAGCACAGTCTAAGCGCCACTCTGGTACAAATGTTTACCCAAGTGCGTTTAGACTGTTTATGGACTGGAGCACTTTTCCAATTTTGGGAGAAAACTATTGAATGAAAATGTGAAAATGTCACACAGAATTATTTGCAAATGCGTTTAGACTGTGACTATACGGGAGCACTTTTTCAATTTTGTGTAACTATTTGGGCAACTATTTTTTTAAAATTGAATTCGAAATGAAATGACGATTGTTAATGTTCCAGCAATTTGCCTTAAGCGACGATGCCATACACCACTAGTTTATACATTTGTTGATCCCAATTTGATATGATCAATATTTTAGAATTTTGTGAATATTCTTATCATAAAACATTTTCTAAAATTATCGGATTGATTTCCAAAAGAATTTCCAAATCCCATAATGAGTGTAAGGTTTTTCAAAACAAAACTTTTCATGAGTTTACACCGTTTACCAGATTTGAAGAACAAAATTCCATAATAATCTATTAAGGATGTTTCCCAAGTTCCAATTACCAAGTGTAAGGTTTGCCTGATATCACCACTTTCATCAGATTAAGACAATTTTTGCAAAATGATATTTTACAACTTTCCAGAAATAAATAAAAACAATTTCTCTGTTTCTAATAATCATATTTCCTTTTTTTTTTCAGATTGTTCTGAACTCCATGCACAAGTACCAGCCCCGCATCCACCTGGTTCGTCTGCCGACGCAATCGACGTGCGTGCCGACGAATCCCCAAGAGCTGGAGGCGATGGAGCACCACACGTACGTCTTTCCCGAGACCATATTCACGGCGGTGACCGCCTACCAGAACCAACTGATTACCAAACTGAAGATCGACAGCAACCCTTTTGCGAAGGGGTTTAGGGACTCCAGTAGACTTACTGATTTCGACAGGTAAGGGAAAAATATTATATATACTCGTATATAGATTTTTTTATCCAAGATTCAGAAGGGCTTATTAATATTTAAGATATTTGTTTCTCTTAAGTGTTGTTTTTATGATAGTGCACGTCCTCACACTATGGAATACTAGTCAGTGACATACCCAAAAGGCAATTTAGCCATCGTACTTCTTTTATCTATATCTACATACTTTTTTATGTCCTTACATATAAATGTGTTCGATGTCCGTTCAACATCATATTGATATCTCGATACTTCATATAAGAATTTATGGTATTCTCAATTCTAGCTCCAATAGAATTCAATTCTCATATCATTACCACAAATTAAATTCAAGCATTTTTGATATTCTCAATCCCAACTTCAATTAAAATCGAACCCTAACTTTTTCTACCATATTTATATGTAGTACTTGAAATCAGTACTACAGTGCCAGGACTCGATCTGAGGATCTCTGACGCAATTTGCAATGAAATTTGCATTTTGGATTATTTTCGGTTAAGATTGCTCTATTACCCTTGCTTACAAAAATACAAGAGAGAATATTTTAACAAAAGGATATAGGTTTTTGGATTAGAAAATTATTCTAAATTATCATAAACCTTTTTTTTCGATCAATACTGAATTGTTATTTAAAAAACAATTACTATAGAGGAGTTCTATATCTTTCAGTGAGAGTAGTGTCAACAAGGTTAGGTTACAATAAATTTGTTAATAATTGGAATAATAAAATTTGAGAATATTATTTTTTGTACAAACCAAATCATACTAACGACTTTAATATTTTTTAACACTTAGACAATATATATTACCAAATTCATGTAAAAGAACTAATAGCTACTACTAAATCTGTCAGTTAGGTTAGTCACTAATTTTTGTTGAAAAAAATCGTAAATAAATTACAATTTATGGCTCATTTTGTAGAAAATATAACAGAATCCAGTTTTACACACAACAAACTAAATGCACAAGGATAAATCCACAATTAAACTAATAAAAAAAACTGGCAAAAACTTAATAGGACTTTTATATGTTTTGACGTAACGTCATGTCAAGAAGGTTAGGTTATAAATTTGTTGATAATTTTATTTGACGATATTTAGCTTATTTTGAAGGAAAATCAACAAAAATCTGTTGTATTCGCAGCAAACTAACTGCACAAGTATAAATTTACAAATAAACTAAAAAAATCTGGCAAAAAATTAATAGGGCTTTCATATGTTTTGACGTAACGCCATGTCAAGAAGGTTAGGTTACAAATTTATTGGTAATTTTATTTGACGATTTTTTGCTTATTTTGATCAACAATCAACAAAAATCTATTTTGTTCACAAAAAACTAACTGCACAAGGATAAATTCACAAAAAACTTAATGAATCGTGCAAAAAGTAACAAGACTTTTATTTGTTTTGACAAACCGTCATGTCAAAAAGGTTAGGTTATAAATTTGTTAACAAAATTGAACAAAAAAGCAAAAAATATAAAAATTCATTATACAAATCCAAATGTAGTTACGGCATTAATAGTTTTTAGTACTTAGACATAATATATTAACAAATTTATTAAAAAAATGGAAGACTACTTGTAATTCTAGCAGTCACTGTTAAATGTCAAAATATAAATAAATTTGTATTAAAACTTACGCTTTATAGCTCATTTTGAAGAAAAATTAATAAAAACCTCTTTTATAATCAGCAAACTAATTGCACAAGGATAAATTCACGAAAAACTCGAAAAATCTTGCACAAAATCAATAACAGAACTTTTATTTGTTTTGACAAGTCGCCATCTTGAAATTGTTAACATAAAGCTGTCAGGTGAAGGCGACGGTGGCGCGCTATGCGGATGAACACGTAACTAGAAAAAGGATAATTATAAAATATTAATTTTATCAATTACTAATTTCATTCACAAAACGCATCCTTATACCAATTAAAGACCTTCAAGTGTCGATTACATAAAATTAGTTTCACTTTTTAACTTGTCAATTAACAAACAAAAATTAACAAAAAAAATTGTAAAAAATCGCATGTGAACTTGTAATTTATAGCTCAATTTGAAGGTAAATTAACAAAATCTTTTATACAAACTATACAAGAATAAATTCACATATAAACCCAATAATCTTGTACAAAAACCCACAGCTATCTTGAAATTGGTAACTTATAACATAACTGTCAGACGAAGGCGACAGTGGCGCTCTATGCGGATGAACACGTAACTAAAAATAGGATAATAGAATAGAATATTTTTTTCAATTATTCATTTTATTTATAAAGTGCATGCTTATACCAATAAAAGCCCTTCAAGTGTCAATTACATAACATTAGTTTCATCTAGTAACGCAAGTGTTAAATTTTAAATATCGCAATATTATTAAAAACAAAAGCGTAATAAATAAATCTCGTCGTATGCGAGCGGCGCTTTTGTTCGGTCGCGTTCCCTTTGATCTCGTCGGATCATCAAGAACAGTTTATGTATCATTATCACAAACGCTTTATTTTTAGTATTTTTACTCTCTGCTCGTGATACTTCTTCTTTGGGGCCTCTTTTTCTTTTTTTACTCTTTTATTTTACTTTTTTTACTCCTTTTACTCGTTTTACATCTATTCGCGAGACCGGCCGAGAGGCGCAATCGGCGCAACCGGCGGACAGGCGGACCGTAGGGTTATTAGCGTTTTACACCTCGCCCGGCCGGTCAATGAATGATACACGACGAGAGGAGATTGTTTTAATGATAAATTTTCAAAGAGCGGATTTGAACACGAACACTGAAGGATGAAACAATATTATAAATATATTTATAACATCTGAAAATATAACCCTATATGAAGATGCAAAAAGTTGACCCAAGTCTACATCGAAAAAAAAGAGTTACATCGAAGGGCTTTTAAATTTTTGAAGTCGGTCCTGCAGTTCCTTGAAAAAACCTCGACAGAAGGTCGAAAATCGATTCACATACAAACTCACATACTTTTTCCAAAATTGACAAGTTTCATTTTTTCATATAGATACAACCTCCTCTTCATATTTTCTCCAAAGTTTCGTCCTAAAATCTTAATTTGTGTCCAAAACCCTCAGTGCCCAAATACAAATCCACATCCAATATTCCTCTTCTTACCATCTTATTCTCAATTTTTTTTTAATTCTTTTCTCCCATCAGAATGCGTTATTCTTAATGAAAGTTCGTTAATTGCAGAGGCGTGGTAGTTCACACCTTTAGCAATTTATGAATTTCAGCAAAAAACATGTTGAGCAAGCAAAAAAAATATTTTGAAATATGTTATTCGTCTATACACAACGTAGAGAATTTTTAGATTCGCAATAAAGCGAAAAAAAATTAAAAGTTTGCGCCATAAAGTTGTTTTTGGCCCCGAGGGCAATTTGAGATCATTTATAATAAAAGGCGTAATAATAGACAATATTATAGGTGTTTTTTGCTTTGAAAAGTTTTGTTTTTATGCTGTTATTAATTTTGATACCTTAAGAAGTTTGGGAGATGATAATAATTTAAGCAAACTGCGATTTCACTTAGCAGCTTATATTTCTGATTCGTAAAGATCAAAAACAAAAATTTAGTATTATTACTATATTTTTTAATGAATATTGCATTAATAGAGTACTCTCTCCTTTGGTGTCAATATACATTTGTCCTCCCCTGAAGATCTTTCCTTCAGGCCAACCAGTTTACCCTGGTTTCTCTTCCAGTATTTGCTATTTTTTCCCCAGTTTTCCCTTTTCCCCGACTGAATATTATATATAAATGTATTGCCTGACAGAAATGGGCGTGTTCGGTATAAAAGAAGTCGAACACCTCACACCGTTGAACTTATTACTTCTCGGCGCCTTGTAATTTTCTTCGGAGCCGACGAAGGAAACATTCAGAGTCAGAGACACCGAGGGAACAAGAGAGAACACTGAAGAGATCAAGGGACCCCGATGGACGTAAGAAAGAAATCCATCGAGACAAATTAACACGCCAAAAAATGCCAACACAAAATAATGGATAGACGAAGAGGTTCGAGTGGTGTGTGGTCGGGGGATAGATGATTTTTGGACAAATTAATTAAATTGCCGAAGGAGATACATTTTCTAGACTTCTATGCTGTGCCTTAAGAGGCACAACTAGTGTGAAATTTTCAAAAAAACAAATTTTCAATTTTTTCATACTTTGATAGGTTATTCCTTTAAAAATAACATACCAAAATTTTAAATCGATATCCTAAATAGTTTTTGAGTCACAGCCATTTAAACAGTATATATATAGTGTATAGTATAACGATCGTTTCATCTTTAAACGCGTTTTTCTCGAAACAGCATTTTCTGAATTTGCTGCAGCGATTACTCAAAAACAAATGATCCCATCACTATCAATTTTTTTTACATGTTCTATATATAGTTCATAAAATAAACGATCGATTTTTTGATCGGATCAAAAATCGAATTTTGGCAATCCAAAAACGACCAAAACTTTGGGTAAAATTCGACTTTTTTTAAAAAAACGCCGCCATTTTGTCAATTTTTGATTTTTTGTTTTTTATCGTAGTTCATTTTACAGACAAGATTATCTAATTTAACGAGAATTTTTCTTTTAAAATTTCATCCACGTAGAAGGCCGGAATCACTGCAGCAGTGAAGGGCCTTTTTTTCACGCCGTTGGAGATCGACGATAACTTAAAAAATATTTAATTTTTTTCTTCAAATATTTTACTATGTATTCTTAAAACATGTGTAAATGTATCCGTAAAATTTTGAAATGATTTATCAAGTATTTTTTTTAATATTAATTCCTAAAAATCATCTTTTTCTAGGCGGTTACACTAGTTGTGCCCCTTAATAATTTTGGAAGTCACTTTGGAACTTTCTATTTCAATTCGCAAAAAAACCATTACCAAATCTGACAAAAATGTAACCTTTGACATTTATGCTGGTAAAAGTTTTGAAACTTTGCCAAAAGGTACGAAAGTAACATTTATATAAATATAATTGTT